TGCACGAGGCCGATTTTTCTTCGTTGTGTTCGAGCAGCCGAAGGTGGTGACCGACATTGATGAAACGGAGCTCGCCCGGCAGCTGGAGAAGCTCGAAAAGGAGAATGCGGAAGTGGACGGTGACGACGACGCAGAGGAGATGGAAGCAGAGGATTGATACGCTTTGGTTAATTCATCAGCATTTGACTTTTTTTCATGCATTGGTATTGTTGGAAAGTGGTCAACAAAAGTTATTTCACTGAACAAAATCCTTTTAAGTTAAAAAGGTTGTGTACCTGGAAGAACCCCCTCCAAGTAAAAATGGAAAACTTTTGAACCTAAAATTAAACAATTTAAATGACAAACTAATAACAGTAGCAAATACTGTGGCGAGTAATAATGCTGTCCTTTACCAAAGGCAACGGGTGCCTAAGTGTATTCACATAAATGCCAACAGACTATAATACTCAGTATATAATACTCAGACTAGCCGATTCTGAGTATTATACACTTCCAGTGTATTAAGCTCAAAAGCAGCGCAATGCCTGTGTGGTTTGAATGATGGTGAGCAGTTGCTTAATAACAATATCTCTTTATAACCTTAAGTCAATATTTTGGCCATTACCTACACATAGTTTACATTCCAAATCAGTGCTACTTACCACATTTTGAAAAATTGTAAGGTCTCAACATGAAGGATGTGGCTGTATTTGGTTTTAGTAAATTGTTGAATAAAAAGTCCAACTGATCGACCAGTTTCTGTTATTATGTAAGAGAGACAAAAACATTAATTCTTTAAAACATGTGCGGTCTACCATGCCTTTAAGCTGCAATATAATGCATTAAAGCCGTATTTAGAAATCATTGTTATATTGTCTCTCTATAGAAGCTTTTAGCATTTATGTTGCAATTAAGTCCAATGTTCATATCAAGATTTCTGCACATCTAAAGATGGTACAGAGTTGGTGATCATTTATATGACTAATAATAGCCGAAGAGCAATACAGCATGTTATCACAATGTTTATTATTGAATCGTAAAGCAAGTTACTTATTCCACACCTTGCATTTGTAACGATATTTGAACATGATTGGTACCCAGAACTGATGTCTTTGGCCAATGATATACTCCAGCTGTTTATGTATCAAATGAGCCATAGCAGCTAAGCTTCTCCAAATGCAACCAAAATAATTGCAAAATATTTCAACAAAGATGGTCGAGTGTCAAAGCAGTGGTCCAACACTGCTGGAATCCTGGGTTTGTATTTTTGGTAGCCAGCCAGTACTCGGCAATGGCTGTGCAAAGACGAATCATTGTTTCAGCTTTTGCCAGCTTCGAGAATTAAACGCTGTAAATGGCATCGACCTGATGTGCAGCGTACGCTGCTATATAATTGAGTTATTGAATTGCCAAGTTATGGTGTCATCTTAGAGCCATTCCCTTGCATGCTCACTTCCACTGGCAGTTACAACATCTGTTTATGAAATTAGAAGTTGCGGTTAAAGTCCAAACTTTAAATTAAGGGATGTTTATTTAGCCATTAATATCAAAACTGCACTTGAAAAATGTTTTCTCAAGTGGAAGCCTTTTGAATTTTATACGATCAGGGTTACTATCACTTAAGACATCCATGAGCCCCTAATAGATATTTCACCTTTTTCGTACCACCTGAGGTGGTATAAATGTAGAAATTTTAATTTATTTGTAAAATAGCAATGAATTTTGTAATATTTATTTGAAATTGAGTGTGTTAAATCTCTTATTAGCCATATAAAGAGTGGTGCTATTACAGCTTTACTCGTTTGGGTGGTACCGATTTCTGCTCTGGCTACTCTGACAGACTGATGGGCATGGTTTAAGCTCTCTTAGCCAAACCTGGGTTTCATAAATATGCAATTATCAGGTTTCCTATATGTTCATTCATCCTCGGGATCTTATTAACTGATCAGCAGCAACGCTCAAATGCTGACAGATCCCCAACAAAAACTGGCAATGCTGAGTGGCGACTTATTGTAATCTTGTAGGCAGCTGTTGAAGGTCCACTGAGTGAGCTCAGGGACCCCTTAACTCACCCTCACGGCAAACATCGCCTGATTTACTTCAGCTATGGCAGCTCAATAGTTCAAAAAAGAAAGTTGAAAATGTGTAATTGCATAAATGAATGATTAACAAATACTCCCATGTATGTCGGCTGGCATGCAAATTATGTGCTTGATCAAGGTAAGACTGCACATTTAATTTTACTGAACTAAATGTGCGGTGGTGGAGTAGGTAAGTGAAGAGCAATGGGGATACTGATGGGTTAAAGAAGATTGCGATGTAATAAGAGCCACGGGAGTCGACGGAAGAGCCTTAGGTGCGAGCGTCTATAGAGGGTTTTTCTTTTCTCGAGGGACCCTCCGATTCTGAACCGTTTTATCTGCACTATGTCCAGAACGACCTTGGTCCGGCGCTTCCTTATGGATGTTTGGGGGCTCTCGCTGGAGTTGAGGTGGTGAGCAGGTGTTGGTGGAGACCTCTGGCAAGTGACTTTGTCTCCAGGCCAAGGAAGAGTCAACGCTGCTGGGGTTCCTAGTGCAGGAGACGACCTTAGGTCCCGTACCACAAATACCCAGTCTCCGTTTCTTCGGTCACCCGGTTCCACAGCCGTCCACAAAGCTGCGGGTATACCGGGTTGGCTTTTGCGATTGTGCTGCACACTTTGGCCGTCCTGAAAAACGGAGGTGCAGAAAGACTACCACCACGGACACGTCCCCCACTATGGCCCCGACTGGTCAGGAGTTCAAATGCACCATCTGTTATAAAGTCAAGGAATGGCATGTACAACCACCAGCGCACCTGCCAACTACATGATCTTCACAAGCGAAGAACCAGCCGACGACGACATCGCCGTCCAAAAGGTTACTGGAACTCTGTTGTTCAGCATGTCCAACGTTTCTTCATTGGGGCTGCCAGCAGCTTTAGTAACTGAATTCGGTATATTCTGAAGTCGGGGGAGATTTCAGCAACTGAACACCTCAACTGAATTCAGTTGCCGAAGACGCTACGCTACCGGCATGTGGAGATAAACATTGGCCATCGTTCCGAACAGCATGTGCTATTCCGTGGAAACGGCCACCGCTCCTGGCTGTTATCCGAGATTTTGGAGCAGATGACATCCTCATTCACGCCATAGTGGTTGGCAACACAGAGAATCCCCATTGGGATATAGCTTTGGTGGAGCGTCCTCGAGCACGGGGGGCTTCCGCTTTGCGATTGTGGTGCCCTGGGATCGATTCATCCCTGTTATCAGGCTAGCGGTGGTCACAATTTGCCCGCTCACGCCATACGTCTACGCCTCTTGTGCCACACTCCTTTGCCTCTCTTTACGCACCGGCCCGCCGCTCCGTGTGGCTCAGTGCTCACCAATGATGCGGTCCCTGCGACTGCGAAGTGATCGTCATTCGTGAATGCATTTTCCAGTTCTCATTTGTGTACACATCCTCCAAAAGCAACTAGCTAGAGTCGGTCGTCACCAATAATTCTGACTAATCTTAAGTGTCTTCGTCTGGCGATGTGCACGACTGTCACTTGGTGTACATACATGTGTACTACGTGTAAGAAATTCACTCAATACAGTACATTTAATATGAACATTAATCAAGTGTGACACAACGTTGTGACGACACATTCCATGCGCTGTTTACTTACTGGTGACAAGGTGGGAAAAATAAGATCACGGTATTCATGAAAAAAGGTATGCGGTTATATTTTTACTTACAAAACTTGTAGTTTAATTAACGCTTATGTACCAGAAAACCAGATTTTTAAACACATTTAGACATTTGAAATATTTGTTTTTATCGAAAAGAACACTTAATCACCATATACAATATGTACATCCTCTTAACTAGCAAACAAAATAATCCTTTATATTAATATTAATTAATGCAGGGTCTGAAAACATTCCTATTCGAACGTTTTATAATCCATTTGCTTCTGGGACCACTTTAGCCTCTATTTATGCATCTGCCTTAATGTTTTAGTGCAATACTATTTATGCTATGAAATTAGATTGTGTGGAAATGTGTAAAGGTATATTTATATACACACAAGCATATACTAAATTTTGATTTAAAGCTTTCGTGACTGCAGTAATTCATATTCTTAGCTCTTTCGGTAAAGTCACGTTGAAGGGAAACAATAAAATAATAAAATATATAAAACAATAAAATTATCATATATATTTTATTATTTTATTGTTTCCCTTCAACGTGACTTTACCGAAAGAGCTAAGAATAAGCGTATACTATTCGATAATAGATCCCAAGCTGGAGCCCCACAATTGCTTGCTCATGCACCTGCTGGCCAAAGGACCTTGTTTGACGAGAGGGAGTTATGGACAGCCCTTTTTGAGAATATTTGGTCTACTCTGCACACAGAAGGAATGTACTGAACCAGTGACATTCGGTGTCACAAATATTTTCCCAATTTGACTCGTATCAGGGCCCACAAGTTTCACACAACTGGCAAGAGAGGAGCACGTTTGGGATCTCTCACTTTCACACTGCCACCGACAAATACTGAGAGTTAAAAAATTGTTACGCAACACCCGAAGGAACAAATTCGGAAATCAAGTGCCTGAATTTCCAAATCAGAATTGGGTACCGCGGTATGACCGTTTACAATGTTTATATGCAAGGCAATAAATATCAAAGTTACCACGTTAGAGTATGACACAAGGGACATTCTCTTGATAAACTCTTGATTTCCTTTACATCGACAAAACTTGACAAATTGCGTGCTCAAACAACACATGAACCACAACACCTCGCTGATCTCGCCAAGGACCATAAGCCATCGCGCGGACATCCTCGCAGCGGCTTTTAGCTCGCCACCAAAGACAGTCACTGCATCACGTGCTTTCACATGTGCTTCTGCGGCCATCTGGAATGCTCTTCCTGACATCCGGAAGCTATGCACTTTTAAACATAGAAAACTAATTTCTTTATAACTGCTTTTTTGCGTTGAGTTTGTTGTCCTTCCTCCGCACCTCTGATTAGTATGGTCGGCGACATACAGCGTGAAAGAAGTTCAACATGCGTACATGTAAACAGTCATTCATTGGTTGATAACATTGAAGTATATCGAGGACTGCATTGGTTTCTAAATTGTTGGGACCAGATCAATGTTTCATCCTACGCTGGGCCGTAGTAGGGGGCCTCCTCGGGTGTGGTGACTAAGATCTGGAACGGTCTTCCGCCGGCCCTCAGATTGGCTCCGAGTCACAAACAGTTCAGGAAACTCTGCAAGACTCATTTCCTCCTTTTGGATTTTCCTTGAGTATGTCCTCTCATTTTGATATTTTTTACATGTCTTGATTTTGCAGGTAGGACTACCCTCGTTTAATTTATACTCTAAAGTATTACGATGCTCTCTTTAGTGGGGGCGAGTTTTTACTCAAATTATGAATTGAATGCGTGCTCGAAGTGTGGTGCTGTTTGCAGATATGTTAAAACGTCAAGGAATCAACCACACGTACTTGTGGTGAACATGCAAACAAACATGTTCTGATAATATTCGTATTGTCTTTGAAACTGATTGGCCTACACCAGAGACAGCTTTCTTTATGGCCTAGTCTCACCAATGTCAGACCAGAGAAGGCCAATATAGCTAGCTCAGCCCGAGCTATGAATGCTCTGACGTTTGAATTGGCTTTGTACCGTTTGCAGATTCTAACGTGGCTTTGTATGTACGTTGAACTTATTTTGCACCGTACGTAGCCAACTGTGCTAAATCGGAGGTGCGGCTGAAGGACAACAAACTAAACAAAAAAGCAGTTCTCAAGAAAACAGTTTTCAATCTAGATTTAAAAGTGCCTTGATGGTAATAGGCGTTACAAACCAAACGTTTCAACAGCTGTGAGCGGATAATTATATTACGCATGGAAGACCAACAAGTGAATTCATTGGGGAAGGTAAATTGACATTTTTGACCGACTTGTTAATGCATAAATTTGGAAGATTCTTCCTCCTCCTCCTCCAACCCCTTCTCCTTTTGTGCTTCCTCGTGAATGTCATGTCGACTTTTGAGCTTGCGTTTGATATTCGCGTTGATACCCGGCAGTGGCGTGTGACGTCGCACCGCAATCTGCAAGACAAACGATATCACAGAGTTGCCGAGAGCGTTTACAGTCTTCAAAGCGGGGGATATTTTAGAAGTGTCTTGAAAAAAATGCTTTCTGCAGAGAAACAACAAAACATCCTGATGACTGAAAATTATATTATTTTTAGGACTTAATAGCGTTATTTTTTTTTTAAACTTCATAGCATCACCGTAAAACAGGTAATTCTGGCGACAAGAATGATACTAAAACTAAATATAAAAAGGCACATTTTATCTGAAGGCTATTGACGAAGGCTGCAAGTACAAAAATATAACGTTTATTATTCACTTGAAAATGCATGTCAGAAAATGATAGATTTAGAGAATGCGAAAGTCATGAATAATTTTTTTAAATGTTAACTTTCCTGTAAATTACTTTAAGTAGATTTATGATCGGTTTTGCTGCCTTGATGGAATAATTAGCACGGTGGAATTGCAATCAATGCAGCGGTCGCCAGTTCTCTTTCCGAGCAGAGTTGAAACAGAAGTTTCTTTAATCACCCTGTCTCTGACTTAAAACTTCAGTGACTGCAGGAATTCATATTCGATGTTTTTTTTCGGTAAAGTCACGTAGAAAAAAAAAGTGAATAAAAATAATAAAAACATCACGTTTCGATCGCAACACAAGCGGTCGTTATTATCTTTTCTATCTACGTGACTTTACCGAAAGAACCATAGAACACCCTGTGTCTGTTTACCCAGCGGTATAACTGGGTACACCAGTGCGTCTATTGGCGGGTCAGGTGTCATCGGATAAGTTGTGGCTACTCCCACCTCTTCAAAGATGTCAGATCAGCATGGAAGAGGTCAAATATCCTCGAGAGGAACTCAAGACCTTGCTATACTCTTTGGTTCTTTCGGTAAAGTCACGTAGGTATAAAATTAAATGAATTAAATCACGACGTTTCGATTGCAACACAAGCAATCATCATCAGGTGGGAAAACCACAGCAATAAAAAACATTATTGCCGTGGTTTTATATTTTATACCTGCGTGACTTTACCGATAGAACCAAAGAGTATGGATTCCTGCAGTCAAGAAAACTTCAAATCTACCTTGCTATAGTGGAAGTCATTTTGACAGTAATGGCTGGAGAAAGCCATTGTAGGGTTACACCTTTATCATTTACTACCCGTTTAAATATGAAACATTTGCACTGAAAAAGTTCACAAATGTTCGTTTCGTTCGTTTCTCAATCCGCTTGTCCTGGCGAGGGCCGTGGTGGCAGCATTTTGAGTAGGGGCGGTCCAGACTTCCCCTTCCCTGGCGACAGACTCTAGCTCTTCCTGGGGGGGATTCCCAAGCGTTCCCAGGCCAGCCAAATGACATAGTCCCAACCAGCGTGTGCTGGGCTGGCCCGCAGGGGGCAAATGTAAAAAAAAAAAACCCTCACATTTCATCCCGAGGTGACAAACTCAATAGAAGGCAAGCGCCGTACCTCAATCTTCTGCACCAACTCCACATCCCAGGGGTGAGTGACGATGTTGACGACGGAGCCCCTCACCAGGCTCCCCACACGGCCTACGCGGCCCACGCGGTGCAGGTAATCCGATAGGCACGTCGGGAAATCGTAATTGATTACCGTTTCCACCTGAATAGGAGGTGCAAAAACACGCTGTTAACAATTGTTTCTACTATAATTTCAGCATCCGTCCCACCCAATGCAGTGTTATAGTTCTGATAACACCATTTAGCTTGTTGTCTTTCTCCCACACCGCCGATTACACACTGTGTATTCTTTGGGTCTTTCGGTAAAGTCACGTAGATAGGTTCAAAGGAAATAACAACAAAACTACGAAAATAAGAAAAACTACGACCGCTTGTGTTGCGATCGAAGTATCGTAGATTTATTGTTCTTTTTTTGTTATTTTCTTTGAACCTATCTACATGACTTTACCAAAAGACCCAAGAATATGCATTCCTGCAGTCTCAAAAGCTTTAAGTCAAGATTTATACACTGTAACAATTTTTTATTTTTTTGTTCCTGGGTAGTGTTATTTCCTAATTGCTTATGCCTCAAATGTAAAGAAAATGGATATTATTCCCCACAAACTTTGCTTTTGTGACCAGGACAGTGATATTTTGAAATTTACCAAATTTCCACAACATTCCAGATAGATTCAGTGCTGAGTAAACTTGGAGTAACTTCTAGAACATTCTAGAACTTTCCAGTAATATAAATAGTATAAATACAGGGGCCTTAAGCCCACCAGTTCAGTTTAGTTCCAGTTGCCTAAGGGGATACAGATCTGCATTTTTCTGAGATGGCATCAAGAGGCTGCCAGCATCCGGCAGACGCATTTTGCTATGTCTGCGGCCAATTTATGAAGACAAGAGCGAGAAAGTACTCTGTGGAAGAATCTGCTAAGATGTGTGAGGCCTACAAGGCATATTCCGGCATGCCCGTTGGGGATCAAGACAAACCCTGGGCACCTCATTTCACTTGCGAGCAATGCATAAAAAACTCTGGAAGGTAAGAGAGACAATTGTTGCTCGGAATTTTATATTTAAAATTTTGTTAAAATTTTTCAAATTGTAAAAGTTTTAAATTTGTTTTACAATTTTTAATGTTACTGAAACAATATATCATATATGAAAAATGTTGCGAGAATCTCTTACACATTAGTCATGGGTGAAATGAATGTATTTTTGTAGGATGGTACAGAGGGGAAACGAGAGCCATGAAGTTCGCTATCCCAAGAATTTGCCGGGAACCCACTGACCACTCAAGCAACTGCTACTTCTGCATGGTGGACCCTTCCAAACGTCGGACTGACAAGATTGCACCTGCTATCACGTATCCGGACCTTCCTTCATCCATTGCCCGGTGCCACACTGCCATGAGCTCCCCGTACTCACTCTTCCGGAGAGAGAGCAGCCATCATTAGAAGAGAGCAGCAAGTCAGAGAGCAAGGAAGACATTGTAGATCCAGATGACAATTTCAGAGGTGGAGCTGAGGAGAGAAACCCATACTGCCCCAACCAAAAAGACCTCAACGACTTGATCAGAGATCTTGGTCTCACCAAGTCCAATGTCGAGCTTTTGACGTCTAGGCTCAAGCAGTGGAACTTGTTGGATGAAAGTGTGCAAGTCGCAGATCAGAGGAAGCGTCACCAACCGTTTTGTAGCTTCTTCACCCGTCAAGATGGGCTCTGCTTCTGCTACAATGTGACCAGTCTGTTCGAGGCAATTGGAATTGCCTGTAACCAGAATGAGTGTCGCCTTTTCATTGACAGCTCATCCAGGAGCCTCAAAGCCGTGCTGCTCCATAATGGTAACAAGTACCCGTCTCTTCCCCTGGCTCACTCTGTGCACCTCAAAGAGGATTACAACAGCATCAAGACCTTGCTGGACGTCTTGAAGTATGATAAGTACGGCTGGGAGGTCATCGGAGACTTCAAAATGGTGGCATTCCTGATGGGTCTCCAAGGCGGTTTTACCAACTTTCCCTGCTATCTTTGCCTTTGGGACAGTAGGGACACCAAGACGCACTACCACAGGCGGGACTGGCCACAGCGGACCGAGTTCTCTGTGGGGAGGAACAACATCAAGTGGAAGCCACTGGTGGACCCCCGGAAGGTGCTGATGCCACCACTGCACATCAAATTGGGCCTTATGAAACAATTTGTCAGAGCTGTAGATAAAGAGTCGGCAGCCTTCAGGTACCTTCAAGACTTCTTCCCTGAGCTGTCTGAGGCAAAGGTCAAAGCCGGTGACTTCGTCGGACCACAGATAAAGAAGATCCTGGAGTGCAATCAATTCCCCAAGAAGCTTGCTAGTAAGGAGAAAGCGGCTTGGAACAGCTTTGTCGCAGTGGTTCGTGGCTTCCTGGGCAATCACAAGGTCAAACTATGTAGAGTTGGTTGAAACTCTGAAGAACTACGGCACAAAAGTGCTGTAGGATGTCCCTCAAAGTCCATATCCTTGATGCTCATTTTGATAAATTCAAGGAGAACATGGGAGCGTACTCGGAGGAGCAAGGCGAGTGCTTCCACCAGGATATACTGGACTTTGAACGCCGCTACCAAGGACAGTATAACGAGAACATGATGGGAGACTACATTTGGGGGCTGATTCGTGAATGTTATTTACAGTATAATCGTAAATCTCGAGAAACTACTCGCTTCAAAATCTTTTGTAGTAATTTTGTATTAGTTTAGTATAAATTCATGTTAATTTTGATTCATATGTTGTTTTTTCTGACTTTATGTGAACAAAAGACACAAATTTGCCCGTTTTCTCATTGAAAATAGATAAATTTCAAAATATCACTGTCCTGGTCACAAAAGCATAGTTTGTGGGGAATAATAACCATTTTCTATACTTTTCAGGCATACGCAATTACGAAATAACACTTACTACCCAAGAAAAAAAAATGTGTTACATAGTGTTATGTATGTATGTTGAACTTATTTCGCACTGTACGTAGCCAACCATGCTAATCGGAGGTGCGGGAAATTGGCTTCGTACGGCGCAATATAACTTAAAGATGGTGTTGGCCATTTGTAGACCTTTGGACCTGTATTTAGTAACCGTGGTAAAAAATAATCCTCTTACTCTCACTGTGTCCAGGCCCCGCGATCCGATGTCCGTGCAAACCAACACGCCAGCATCCTTCTCGCGAAACCTCTTCAGAATGTCAACCCGCATCTGCAAAACAAGCATTACATACATCCGTCAAACTTTATACGTCATTTAATAAACAATCAACTTTGTAAAGCACACGTGGAGTCAGGTCAGATAGTCGTTTATGCCGTCTCCGGCTCCCGACGCCGCAGTCACATTCCTCCAGATGTGTCGTCCGCCTCTCGCCACAGCTTTCAGGTTCGTTTGGTTTCATCTGCGTTCATCTTGTTGCATGTGTTGTGGGTAATAATCGACGGAGAACTTCTTGTGAGGCAACACAATATTTATTAGGACTCTGTTTTACAAGGTCCCTAACGCAAAGGGGTAGCGGCCCCTTTACCCGATACCTGGGGAGGTATGGCCTCCGGGCTACACGGGCCCTATAACTGGGGACCCCGTTAACTTCCCGTCCTCCGGCTGGGGGCCCTAGGGGAGGCTACGCTGACCCGACCGTGCCAGGGTCTTCGGGTCCTGACCACTGGCCTCACTGAGCTCCGGCCCTTAGAAGGACGGCGGAGCTTGGGGTCCAGGGTCCTAACCTCAGCCCAGGTCTTCAGTCTTCGGCTTGGAGATGACTGCCCCAGACCCTTGAGAGGTCCGGCTGGTTCGTGGCTTGCTCCGCCCTAGCCACGCCTCCCTTCCAGAACTTTCTGGAAGGTGGCATCATCCCCCAGTCGTCCCCTCCCAGGGTCCGGGGAATGTGTCCCAGGATCCGCTTCCCAGGGATTGTCGTTGGCCCCTTTGGGCCATGGTCACCAACAGTGGCGTGATAGCGCTACCGCCCCCTGTTGACGAGAAGGGGGAGCTACCAGCCAACAGGATGGGGAGTGCCGATTAACACCTCAACATCGATGGACTGTCCTGCCCTGTGCAAGTTCTTCTCCAGGCAGTCCCCCCCTCCCCTCCCCTCCATTTGGCCCTGGGTCATCCCGGCTGTTGTGTGTTGGCTTCCTATTCTATGCCACGTTTGCTTACCAGTCGGCTGCCTTTGACCAAATCAACTGGGATGTGCCTGCGCAAGACGATCGAGCAACTCAACTTTTTTTTCTTTAAAGACAAACCACTTTCCTTGCCCTCTTCACATTATGCTCACCTTCACCACCAGCCCAATGCTTAGGGGCCATTATTAAGGGCAAAATGTGTAGTATTGTACTGTAATTATTGTACACTTTCACGAGGTATAAATTACAGCACTGCTACGCTTTGATGACTGCTGCACAAGATTGAACAATGCGGGCAAGTACTGTACGCGGGCAAGCGTGGTGGGGACACGCTCTTGATGTGCCACTGGTGGTGGATTGTTTGAACACGGCTGGAGATTTGAAATCACGGGTAGCGGAAAACCAAACTGTGGTTAAGCGATACTTTATACCATTTAACATGTAGGCTTTCATGACCCATATCCATAACACAGGTTTTTTTTGGGTTAGATCACATAAATATGTGTCGTTAAACCCGCCACCAGCCGACACAGCCAATTAGTCAAATTTGTCACGTAAACAGAACGTGGCAATTCGTTACTAGTAAAGCACACCGGTGTGTTGGAGCGCAAAGCCACAACGTTTACAATCTTGAGTACGACGTTTTGCCAGTAATTTCAACTCGCTTCATCAGGTGACAGCCTGATATGTGGAGAAATCCTCCTGTTTCGTTCCTTAAATAGAGGGCTAGAAGTGATGACATCACTTGTGAGCACTTCTTGCGTGAAGTGGAGGGGGGGGATTAATGAACGCATATAAATGACTATGGGCATCCATTGCAGTTGGGGTTATTTATACGGTAATCCACATGCATTATTTATATGCAAGAACAATGGGCTTGGGCAAGGACAACAAACACTGTGCTAATTATCCCATCAATGAGTGCCTACCTCAAAAGGCATTGTTCCCTGCAGGCGGACGTGCTTGACGTGATTTGCATCGAGCATGTATCCGATCCAATTGACCGTGGTCGCTTTGTTACAGAAGACGATGACACCAGACTGTGAGTGTCCGTCTCTCTTCTTTAACAGATCTATCAGAGTGGCTGCAAAAGAAACGCATTCTCATGTAATGTTCATCAACAACCCGGGTGCGTACACAGCATTAGGTACAGCAGAACCCCTATTAATCAGTGTTGAGCTTATTATCATACTAAAGTCCATCACAACGGCATACCCATGATGTTGGGAATAACACAAACAAATGAGCTCCTGGAATCGATGAATAAATCACAAAAGTATACCTCACGCGAATCGTGTTTACACTTTGTGTCTACAGTCAGCTACGTCAAGGATAACGCGTGAAGACGGTAACAATGTACTCGTTACACTTTTCTACCATTTTTAAGCATTGCAAAGTCAATGTATTGAGCAATGCTTGGTAAAAAAAAAAACATCAACAGGTGCTTGAGGAGAGAACCAGGAGTGTATTTTGTCATGGGCATGTTCCGTCACCCGCTCTGTTCAACGATGTGACCAACTACAGTGCGATCTCCATCCCAACCAAGCCTACTGTTATCCCTGCCCATCCAAATCCCAACAAAATAAGAATTTCTTTGCAAAAAGTGACAGGTCAATATAAAATGTTATTTTCGACTAACATTGTACACATTTTAAACGTGAATATATATTTTGTAATCAGGCAAAACCAAAGTCATCAAATGGTTCCTTACCTAATTTGTCATCGTTATTTACCCTCATGAACGTCTGTTCCACATGAGGCGGCACACAGTGCAGGAAATTGCTGCGCACCACTCTGAAGCTGGAGGTCTGGAAAGCGTGCAATTAGTTTTGGTTGGCACACCATTCATCCCGCACTGTGCAATACTTATAACACTTTGTGCGAGTGCTCACAATAATCAAAACACAATTGGCATCTGAAACACACTCAAGCCACTGTTTGGTCTATTCACAGGAATTAAATTCACACAACGCAATGAAAGATGTTTGGTGAAATAGGTGGTTGCGCACCTATGTAATAAATATTGGCAGCAGTGGTGCAATAGCCAGTGCACTGCGCTACGAACCTGACGGACCGAGTTTGATTCACGGCCATAGCGAACATCGGCAGCGAATATCTGAACTGGCTGCGAGGCTCCCGGTTTAGGAAATTCGAAAGCATGTGTATATGTTCTAACATATCTAAACATCACGTGACCGATCAATGTAGGATGCAACGGTGGTGCAATGGTAAACAGACTTGACTTGCAATCCAGAGGCCGCCGGTTCAATCAACCAACCAACCTCTGTGCACCCAGAAGTATAAATGGGTACACCGCGGTTAGTCGATCAGCAGGTCGCGTCTGGCCAGGATGGAAGCGTAGGCCAAACACCCACTTGAGGGCCTCTCTAAAGCTCCGTCCAATGGAGGCTCTTCCACCAGCAGCGGCGTGAGCAAGCAATCGCACCTTTACCTTCACCTCAGCGTTCGTACTGCGTTGCTTACATCCATAACTTGTCCCAGCAGCTCGTCAACGCCGCGTGGAAATGTTGCCCCAATCAAAATGAGCTGTGTCCCGTCCCACGGGTGTAGGCCGGCAGATGCATCGGGTTTCTGCCGCACCTGGGAAATAATTGTCATTAAATCAAGCGTGGTTGCCCAATGGACAGCCATCGTAACGAGGAATTGTCCTCGGTGATCTCAGGACCACCCCCGCTTGTGAGCGCCACCACGTTTGCTTGTTGGCAGACACTCTGATTTGACCAATTAAAAGATGACCTTGCATTTACCGAGTCGATTGTGAGGGTGTAAAGCTTCTAAGCAAAGTTTAAAGTGTCATATTGTGTTTTTTAACGAGGTGATAACTCAACAAACCCGGATAAGGGTTACCTGGTTCACCAACATGACAAAAGCAAAACAAAGAACAGCAATGACGCAAACATAAATCGGAGCATAAACTACTGTGTCACATGACAAATAAAAAAATATATTGCACAAAAATAAATCCACGTGCAACAACATATTCCCTGTAGCATACATCAGCTTGGAAAGATTAGTTTTAGACTGAGGATATTATAGTTATAATCAGGTTACAGAAATATGGAGGAGATCGTGTGTAAACTGACAAGGATATATGCAAACAGTAGAATAAATAAAACTGGCAATTGCGTAGATATTGGTGGTTTAACCTAGGATATATTATTAATGTGCAATTTCCATTAAATACACAACATAATGTAATGGAATTATGGAGTGGTGTCTCAATACTTAGCAATGCTACCTCTAAGCACGCACACAGTGGGTCCGTGAGGAGTGAAAGTTAAGAGGATGTCGAACCTTTACTGCGTGAAACATACAACCAATATGAAGCAAAATAGCACAAGACACCTTAGGAGCTTACAAAGTCGGGCTCACATTCATAAGATCTTTGCGGGTTCGTTTTCAATTACTGAAGTGCAATGATGCAGGCTGAGATATTTTTTAATTATTTTACAGTTCATAATTGGTGCCTAATGCTCACAAATACAGAATAAAGGCACTTTTATGATTTTACAATGTATAGTTAATACCCGAGGATCAGAGAGAAATTATAAGGCACCTTTGCTTTTCCCACTGGTAAAGCCAAAGACTCAGCGGACAAGACTGAGGCATTTAGGATTATTATGGTTTAATATTCAATTAATCAGACACAGAGCACGTTTCAGCGGCGGCATAGTTGTAACAAGCTAACAAGTGGAAAGAATAACTACATTTTGGGAATTACCACAGCTGACCACCATAGAGGGCTGAACTGGGCTTACAATTAAATGAGGGTTGAATGATCTCAGGTCTTTGGTAACAATTTGGTGTAATTTAAAAGTTTATACTATTTTTCCAGAATCCTGCCACGGTATAACGGTTAGCATCCAGAGGTCGCCGGTTCGATTAAAATCTCCCAGCACGGCAAGAGAAAGCAACGGTGAAGCAATCTTAAATCAAAACGCCTCCGTCCGCCCAGCAGTACAAATGGGCACACCGAAGTGAGTCCATCGGCAGGTCGTGGGTGGTTGGGCAAAGCGTGGGTACACCTCCCACTTGTTCTAACATATCTGGCTAGCATGGAAGAGAAATCTAAAAATGCCCTCCACAAGCGCTATCCGGTGGAGGCCCGTATTTCGGCAGTGGCATGAGCAAGAAATTGGAGAGTTGCACCTTTACCCTTTAAACCGAAAGCGGCACATTTGAAAAGGCAAGTGCACGGCAGCACTGCTAACAGCGCGACACACTGAAGGCAAACAACACCGGAGCTCACGTTGACGTGCGTAAAGATACACTGCAGCTCCGAGTTGAAGCTGTCGTCCAACAGGGTGTCCACTTCGTCCAACACCAAGTGTCTCAAGGCGGTGAAATCCAACAAGTCTGAAATGATTCAAAAGTTAAAGGCAGTTCACCAACGAAGAGCAGAATGGGGGTTGTTTTGAGGCATAAAAATCTGGCATTGATCAAAGAGATTGAACAATTTTTTTTTTAAAGAATGAGTGATTTAAGGCAACTTTCACACTTGCCCTGAGGCAATACGTGTTTTTTTTTTCAAAACTCTGCTTGGTCCATGTTATATCAAATATATATGTACGTATGTAATGAGAGGCAAGGAACATTTTCCAAATAAAATTCCCCATATTAGACCTGACACGGTTATAAAATATCATCAAAGTGCAAACCAACTTAAAAACGGTTGCAATACGAGATGCCTCTTAGGTCATGAGGTTCAACAGAATGCAGCTAGGTCATGAGGTTCAACAGAATGCAGCTAGGTCATAAGGTTCAACAGAATGCAGCTAGGTCATGAGGTTCAACAGAATGCAGCTAGGTCATAAGGTTCAACAGAATGCAGCTAGGTCATAAGGTTCAACAGAATGCAGCTAGGTCATAAGGTTCAACAGAATGCAGCTAGGTCATAAGGTTCAACAGAATGCAGCTAGGTCATAAGGTTCAACAGAATGCAGCTAGGTCATAAGGTTCAACAGAATGCAGCTAGGTCATAAGGTTCAACAGAATGCAGCTAGGTCATAAGGTTCAACAGAATGCAGCTAGGTCATAAGGTTCAACAGAATGCAGCTAGGTCATAAGGTTCAACAGAATGCAGCTAGGTCATAAGGTTCAACAGAATGCAGCTAGGTCATAAGGTTCAACAGAATGCAGCTAGGTCATAATGTTCAACAGAATGCAGCTAGGTCATAAGGTTCAACAGAATGCAGCTAGGTCATGAGGTTCAACAGAATGCAGCTAGGTCATAAGGTTCAACAGAATGCAGCTAGGTCATAAGGTTCAACAGAATGCAGCTAGGTCATAAGGTTCAACAGAATGCAGCTAGGTCATAAGGTTCAACAGAATGCAGCTAGGTCATAAGGTTCAACAGGATGCAGCTAGGTCATAAGGTTCAACAGAATGCAGCTAGGTCATGAGGTTCAACAGAATGCAGCTGGAATGCCTCGTGAGCACAAATGACGCACGAGAGACTGAGCTGCACAAAAGGTGCATATTGCTTTCTGAATCCCTCAGTAATGTTTGACGAAACAACACGAATACATACCAACACTGGGGAGAGCACTTGACAACCTCCACTAGAGGGCATTTGCTTTGCGGATGCAAAACTCACAATGTTCTGCTATTTGCAGGAACCGAACATTGTGTGGCCAAGTTTCATAACCAAAATTCCAAATCTGTCCATAATGGTGCACATTTTTAATTAGAAATATATATATAAACCCATTGTCCCAACACAAATGAGGTGGGCTGAAGTTCCCCTTTTTGCCAAACTGGACAATGAGTTACCATGGACAATGCTAAAAAAAAAAATCAAAGATGAGGCCATACGCTTGTATCACACTGCTGTAGCAACTGCTTCTCAGGCATCGACACAGGGACTGGCTCGAAGAATTAATCGCGCAAGTATCCCTTTCAAAATGTTATTTTATTGCCGCCCGTTGCATATCATTGGAACTGCTCGTTGATGTCTTTTTTTTATATTGTAAATCTTTCATCGTGGCCTCAGATGAGTGATGCCTCAATAACTAATTCCGTTTCAAATTAACGATATGTCTCTGCATAATCAAGGAGCATAAAAGTGAAACGTGTTTTAATGACACCCTGGCGGTAAAGATCGTACGGACATAGCGTAGTTGTTGTAAGTCATTAATTTCCCCAAAAATAATTTGACAAGCGTTTTTTATTAATTGTTTTCGGGTTTCATGACCTTGACTTTATTCAATACCATTCCAGTTGGTTAACAGACATCGAGTAAAGATCTGTTAGATAAATACAATAGAAATAATAAACTAATTTTTATAAAGCACCTTTCAAATGACTAATCTCCATGCGCTGTACATCAGAGGTAAAACAAGCAAAAATCTTACACGAATAAAAAACTGACACACCAGTAAAAACCCAATAATGCTACATTATAACAAGAAATAAAACCAAAATATAGTACCGGTGAGTTTAAACTGCTTTAGTTAAGTATTCTATAAAAAAAAATCGGATTAAACTGCAATAAATTGCAGGATGCAATAGAAGGGTTCATATCGAGGGCATGTTACGGAAGTGGCCAAAACATCAATTGCACTTGAATCTAAAACATCTGAAAATCAGAATTCACCACAACCTAGAGAAAGCAAGATGCACAAAACACATTGATTGTGTCTTGTCGCGAGGTGCGTTCCAGTTGTGCAACCGGTGAAAGAAAGGAATAACGTCCTTCGACTCTGATAGCCAGGTCAGCACAACCTTACCTTGCTTCAGAGCTCTCCAGAGAGTGCCAGGGGTTGTAATTAGCACGTCAATCAAGTGGGAGTCCAGAAATTGCCGTACTTGACTCTGAAACATCATGCGCACTTACACTTTAAAGAGAATGTAAAAGGCAAAAAATCATCAGAAAGCCATGGCAATGTGATTCAACACACGACCATACACTTAACCTGAAACTTATTAATCACATCACTTGACTTATGGCAGCATGAGGGTTGCCAACTGTGAGGTACACAAATTCGGGACATATAATTGGAAAATAATATTTCACAATAGTGCAAAAGGGGAGAATTACAAGTAAGTCTTTAGTGGTGTATTGTTATGCAAATTACTAAAAAACGGGAATTTTATTGTCCTGTGAAGACTTGTAGATTTCCCAGGACAGCTTCCTCAAAAAGAGGATCTTGGGAAAACCATGACAGCTGGTAAGATTCGGTGGCACAGGCCTGGAATCAATAACGCTCATTTATGAGATTCCCCGTCTGCATGGCAACATAAAAATAGGTTTCTGGGTTTTTATGTCACGCACTTATATTTGTGGGTAGCCCAAAATGCTCATTTAGCAGATGGCCTAACGTTCAAAACAAGGACACTCCTAAAAATGCCTTGAAACCCAGTGAAATTGCTGGATAATGAAATACTAGTGTTGTTATACATTCTACATCCTTGCATCAATTACCACGTGACCAATGTTATTGAAATTCGACATAACAAAAGCGGATGTGGTAAGCCTGCATTAGTCCATATCACAAGCACGCATTTGGTTTCAATGCTAAACACATCTGGTTGCTATGCCATCAAGCCTGGAAAGGTGTTTCAAGAGACATCAATAAAATAACATCATATAGCTTTAATGTGATTTATCAAAGAGTAATGAAGATTTAATATTGATAACTAAAACAGAAAATACTTAACACAAGTGGATTGCTTATTCAATCAGTAGCGTATTCGTCGATTGTAAATGTATGTGAGTACTTTTGGTTCTTTCGGTAAAGTCACGTAGAAATTAAATAAAATCAATAATAGAATATAAAGTTTTGATTGCAACACAAGCAACCATCATCAGGTGTGAATGAATGCAAGCTCGGAGACACATACACAGAGAGAGACAACACACAGAGAGAGACAGAGAGAGAGACAGATATACAGAGAGACAAACACAGACACGGAGAGAGACACACACACAGAGAGACACACACAGAGAGAGACACAGAGAGAGAGAGACATATACAGAGCGTGTGAGACAAACACACAGAGAGAAAGACACACAGACACGGAGAGAGACATACACAGAGAGAGACATACAGAGAGACACACACAGAGAGAGACATATAAAGAAATAGACATATACAAAGAGAGACAGAGAGAGACACAGAGAGAGAGACACACACATAGACACGGAGAGAGACATACAGACAGACATACACAGAGAGAGAGACACACACAGAGAGAGACAGAGAGAGAGAGAGAGACATACAGAGAGAGAGCACACAGAGAGAGAGAGACACACACAGAGAGAGACATATACAGAGAGAGACATATACAGAGACAGAGAGACACAGAGAGAGACAGAGAGAGAGACACACACAGAGAGACATACACAGAGAGAGAGAGAGACACACACAGAGAGAGAGAGAGACATACACAGAGAGAGAGACACAGACACAGAGAGAGAGAGAGAGACATATACAGAGCGTGTGAGACACACAGAGAGAGAGACACACAGAGAGAGAGAGAGATATACAGAGCGTGTGAGACACACAGAGAGAGAGACACACAGAGAGAGACACACACAGAGAGACACAGAGAGAGAGACACACAGAGAGAGAGACACAGAGAGAGAGAGAGAGAGACACACAGAGAGAGAGACACACATAGACACGGAGAGAGACAGAGAGAGTGGATTGCTTATTCAATCAGTAGCGTATTCGTCGATTGTAAATGTATGCGAGTACTCTTTTGTTCTTTCGGTAAAGTCACGTAGAAATTAAATAAAATCAATGTCTCTCTCTCTGTATATGTGTCTCTCTCTCTGTGTCTCTCTCTGTGTCGTCTCTCTCTCTGCGTGTCTCTCTCTCTGTGTATGTCTCTCCGAGCTTGCATTCATTCACACCTGATGATGGTTGCTTGTGTTGGAATCAAAGCGTCGTATTCTATTATTGATTTTATTTTATTTTATACGTGACTTTACCGAAAGAACCAAAGAGTAATTCCTGCAGTCACGAAAGCTTAAAATCAAGTTTGTATGCGAGTAATATGGTGCTGTATGTGTGTATCTGTGCTGACGGTTTATCCATTAGCTGGTAGTACTCTAGTCATTGAACTTTGGTATTTCCCTCTCTCACAAAGGAAGAACCGTGCACACTCGGTTAGTACAGTCTGTTCTCCTATAACGCGGTAGTTGTTGCGTTCCTGAAGAACGCGTTTCGGAAAAATCGCATGATAATAAATAATATATTAGGGCACAGCACAGTCCACAATAACACGTGAGACGCGTACGCAGACTGAACAAAGACTGAGGTGCGTGGGTAGCATCTACAAGTATCCAGCAGCATCCCGCCTTGTGTGATGATGCTACGCCGAGGCAGCCGTACACCCGCTTATTCCTACTCGCGCCACGTAGTTCTGTTAAAATCGCGTTATATCTAATTCACATGCGAGTCATGAAAAATGTGTTCTCTCATAAATTCATCGCGTTAAATCCACGGTTATTGGAGAACACACTGTATATGAAATGTCAGCAGTCATCACTTACCATACTAAGTCCACAGCCAAGGGCCTCAACACGCAGAGGTGCATGATGGCTCAGACTTTTGGCAACTGCCTGCAAAACAATAGTTACACTTTTTCCAGCATCAATAAATAAATGTTACCACCATCAATGTAGTTGCTACTTTAGGTATCTGCAAAAATATTTGACACAAACACATGATATATGGTAGTTTGGGAGCACTCCTGTGGCCATTGTTAATTTCGCACAGACATATCAGTGGAGCCTTAAATGCTATGCATATTTTTTTCCATTTCTTTACACGAAAACTAAATAATGGCTTGTTTCCATGCAGTGGTGATGGCATTGTTTTCTTGTTTCTTGCATTCCCGTAAATTTCATGTCAATTAATGACTTAATAGCTTTACGACCGGGCTTCGCCCGAGACTTGGATTTTTGTCTTGGATTAATACACGGCGTACGTGGAGGGTGGTGGGGGGGGTTGGATGCGTGACGTCAGCAGGCACACTGCGTGACGCTGCCGCATGCGGGTGACATCACAGACGTGACGTCACCGCTCACTTGCCGTGCAAAATATATCCATTATTGCGCCTTCTCCCCCCCCCCCCCCAAAAAAAATACAAAAGCCTATTGTTATACTTTTACATTGTGTACAGTCTGGAAGCTACCCACGTGCCAAATTTCAAGTTTGTTGCATTTTGGGAAGTATGCTAAACATTTCGAACAGACACACATTCACAAATTTCCCTTTTATATATGTTACATTTCTTCCCATTGAAATGTCTTTTCGCATCTAGGATTTCTATTTTAAAAAACTCGATGACTGAAACTAGATTGCAATGTCACACTGCCCTGTACCTTGCGTTTTCCAAGGTGTTCCTTTGATTCGTTAACTTATTAGGCCTGATTCATGCATTGGCAGATCGCTCTTAGTCACCAATTATCAGCAGAAAAAGGGGAAAACCTGGCATAAAACATTAGTAATTTGGGTATTTTTCTTCCAAATGTTGAAGGAAACATTATTCAGTAATTGGTCTCTAGACTTCCATTTAATGTAAGATACATTATGACGTATGACGGTAATTTATCTGTACGAGAAACTTTGTTGCAGCAGAATCAACAAAACTCAGCCCAACATATAACAAACGCACACGCAAGGCATTTGCAAACACGGAGTCAGATCTGTGGACTGGTGGAAATCATTTTCGTGTAGTCACTGCACATGTGTGCGATCGTGTTCAGGTTTGATGTTTGGGAGGATCAAGCAGGTGTTCCCCGCTTTTATCTGGTGCCACAATTGTCGTGGTAGGTCTTGTAGCTGAGGTGCTTGTTACGATTCGGAACAGAATTGCAATACGATGGTTTACCACCACAGAGAGCAATGCCGGTGGTCCTTCTAAGATCATGACATTTAGTATTTGTACTAAGAAAAAAAAACACAACAGCATTAAATCAGACACCACGCATATACAATATACATGTACAGTACATGGAATGCAAATGAAATAGTTCCTGGGTAAAAGTTACAATGACCTGTCCTTTAATCAAATGTACATAAAGCAAGGATTTAAATTCAATGAGAGCAAGTTTGGGATGCTACCATGGTGTAATGATTAGCGCACTGAACTTGCAATGCAGAAATCTTCGGCTCGTTTTGATCTCCCAGTGCGACAGTTGAAAAATATGGGAGCACGTTTCTTAAATCCCCCTGCCCTCTGTCCACCCGGCAATACAAATGGGTACGCACAGTCAGTTGTTCGGCAAGTCTTGTATAGTGTGCTAAAGTCTGAATACTTCCACGTCTTCCAAGAAGTCTGGCAAGTGTGTAAGAGTAGGCTAAATACCCTCCAGAGGAGCTCTGATAGAGCTGACTCTAGCAGAGACCCTTCTGCCAACAGTGGCGTTAGACCAAGTTTCCTCCCCCCACCCCCCCCCGATACGCAAGTGCACGGTTACAATACAGCACATCTTTTTCAGTCTTGGCGAGACGTTTGCCTTTCTCACTTTGACTTGGTCGAGGAGCTCACGGGAGGGAACGATGATCACGCTGCGTGGACATCGCAGCTGCGTCGACGCACTGCCCTTCTTCTCCTCGTCCCGGAGCTGCTCCACGATGGGCAGCAGGTAGCAGAGCGTTTTGCCACTGCCTGCAGAGAGACAACGTCTCTCACTTTGAGCCCAACTTGGAAAACCACGAACGCGGTTATGAGATGTCAAGGTGACACGTAAGACAACGATCGACATGGGTGGGCTTAGTAAGCGGCACAGTGCAAGCGTAAGCATTAGAAAACCAATGTATAAATGTGTAGCAAAGAAAAAAATGTCCGTCGCACTTGACAAATTGTAAGAGATGGCACAAAAAAAAACCACATTGCACGCCCTTCAAAAATCTGCATTTCTAAAAATTTACCCATTTGCCAAATTGAGTGGAGCTTCAATCCACAGAGGAAACAAATATATTTACATCATCGGTATTGGGGATGCTAATCCCAATATTTAACTACTTAGTTCAGTTACAATGGGGTAATACAACTAAGACAATGCTGGTCTCAATGGACTCTGGTTATACGTTAAACATACATTCATAAACCAAGATCGTCTCTATTGAAACCCATAATCAATCACCGGTTTGGCGCTTCTAAATACACATGTATATAATAATATTGTGGTAACAATATGCAGGAAACACAACGGAGCAATGGTAAGATTACTGAACTGCACAGGTCATTTGTGTGCTGCGATGAATTACCAAAGAGTTTCTAAAGATGCAATATTCTTTCCAACATCAATTCTGCACATTTTGGCAAAAGTAACGAAAGTTTGTGCATTAAGGGAAACCGGTGCCTGTATTTAGCTCTAAATACGACTCACCTCAAATACAGGATGATCCGTTTATAGATACCCAATTGATGTATTAATAATTATCCTCTCACTTTCTTCTCAGCAGGTGATTGAATGTTGTGAAAGCAATGGCTCCGAATCACAAGAGGAGATTGTGTGTTTTCCGTGTCATTTTCATTATTGTAATTATTATAGTGGGGTATCCCTAAATGGATCTCCATGCTCATCTGTGGATTGTTCATTGGCTTCATCAGAATGCATGAGTTAAGGATAAGAATGTAGCGGTGTGTGCAGCACGTGCTATGTCTGTATTCAGGCTCACCTGTAGCAGCTGCACAGAGAACATGGGATCCCTTCACAATTAGCGGAATTGTCTGAATCTGAAAAAAATTGAAATAAAGCGGTCAGTGTTTAAACTCGCTATATTGTTTGAACGAAGTACAGGGCAATAAAATACAAACATTTTATTGTGCTATAGAGTATGCACACCAAATGGGGTTGAGCAGTGGCATAGTGGTTATTGCACGACCTTTGAACCCGGACACCTTAGTTTGATTCTTGGCCATGGCTGACATCAGTGGTTACTCAATGAGAACTGACCCTCGCCACCACCCTCCACTCCAGTCACTGACTCACACTGACCGGCATGGTAAAGTATGGTCAAACAACCCCAACCGACATGGGGTGGGGGGTCCATCAAGAAGTACTGTAGCCCATCAGCTATTAACAACACAAAGCCTAGAGGCGTTTTACATGGGTTACCAACTCTGCTTGATATAAAGTGGTATGACTTTAAACGCAATATAGATAAAAAGCACGACGCTGCAGAAGTTTAGGACACTGATGTGCTTGATCAGACATCGCACTCCTTCGGCGCATTGCACCCATGAACGAATTCACCACTGCTCATATATCAAAAAAGCCCTATAGCTCACCAAGTCAAATCAGGAAGATGTCCCTCACTGACCTAACTGAAACCTGAAACCATGTGAGCATGCTGCTGGATCCATAACATTGCCAAATGCTCCACCTGCTACTGTCAATGACACCTGACATGAGGCCATATGCATAAGTCATTGAGGATTCACACAACAGACCACAGCTGTCCTGGCAAAGCGATTGATGGATGGCTTGAACATGATGCCACTCTTCATATTCCAATTAAATAATCTCTATTCCCACACGATAGTGAATTCAATGCAAAATCCTGTAATGAAACTTCTATCAAGACCAAAAAGTAAATTTAAACTGCAGGTCTTCTTTACCACTGCATGTCGACATTGGTAAGCCTCACAATTCCACCTAATATATTATTGGTCCTCATTGATTTGCTGCCATAAACAACTTTCCTTCTTGTTTTCAACTTAAACAATATTACCAAAAACGTATTGGCAGAAACCGCTTTCCATCCAACAAGTGTCTCACATTTATATAAAACAAGTGCATGCCCACCTGTACTGGGGTAGGAGCCTGGATGCCTTGGCTGGACAATGCCTGCATCACCTCCGTAGACATTCGAAACGATCTAAAGCTATTGACATTCGTTTTTCTTTCTTTGCCGTCCCCTTCAATTTCCACAATAGGTTCCATTGGATTCTGAAAAAGAGCACGCCAATCAACACCACATCACAGCCATATCCACGGTGGCGAGATGTTAACTACCTCGCCTGGTATACAGGAGGTCGTGGGTTTTGATCCCGACCCTGATGCCTGTTGTATATTTGGAGTTGGCATGTTCTCCCTCTCTCATCATCATCACGGTGGCTAGATGTTGACTACCTCGCCTGGTGTACAGGAGGTCGTGGGTTTGATCCCGACCCTGACGCCTGCTGTATATTTGGAGTTTGCGTGTTCTCCCTCTCTCATCATCACGGTGGTTAGGAGATGTTGACTACCTCGCCTGGTGTACAGGAGGTCGTGGGTTTGATCCCGACCCTGACGCCTGCTGCTGCTGTATATTTGGAGTTTGCGTGTTCTCCCTCTAGTTGCGTGGATTTTTCTCTGGGTGCTCCAGATTTTTCCCTCCACATTTGGAAACATGCGTTTAGAGTATTTGGCTGATATAAATTTCCACATCATAAGCCACTTCATTGAGCTATCATCTGTTGCCAGGTCGCTTCTGAAAAAAAGCTACATAGCTCAGTGGGCCTTACCCGGTAAAATAAAAATATATATATGCTTACATATATGCTTACATATAACTTCAGAAAGTTAATGCTCCGACGAGGATATAATCCAAACTGTAATCCAAGCCATCAGCTACACAACTCATGCATGCTCTCTGGTTCTTTCGGTAAAGTCACGTAGATAGCAAAAATAATAAAACACGATGTTTCGGTCGTAACACAAGCGTTCGTCATCAGGTGTTTCGACCAAAACGTCGTGTTCTTTTATAATTTTTTCCATCCACGTGACTTTACCGAAAGAACCAGAGAGTTTGGATTCCTGCAGTCACAAAAGCTTCAAATCACATCCTGCTCAGCACGACGTAGTTCAACTTCACGTCCACAATCGTCTGTTGTGCACGTGGTGAAATGTATCCAGTCACATTAAACATGTGATGCTATACATTCATTATCAGCATCATGCCTTAAGAATTACACTGCCTCCCATGCAGAACATCTTGAGGTTTTATGTTTATATATTTACATTTATTCTGTCTTCGAAGTGGATGCTATGATCTCACATACCTCTTGCAATCTGTTTATGATAAAGAAATCTCCAATGGATTTGTTGTGTTTCCAGCCCTGAGAGGCAAGCCGGGGAAAAGCAAACTTGCTGTGTGTGATGCTGGAATGTTGATTATATCCTGGCCTCCGGGCACGGATCAGCATCTTGCCGGCTCGCATTGTGTATACTTTTAGTGACCTACAACAAAAGATGCCATCAATCTCACGTTAAAACAATGATCAAATTGACTTATCAGAACATTCAAAATGGTATCTATAAATAAATCTTGAAATGTATTGAATTGTTTCCAAGCACAATTCCAGGACCTTCACTCGTACCATACCTGTTTGTTTTGAGCTTCTGAACGTTTTCAATGCGCTGTTGTATCTTGTGTGGAATACAAATAATGGGCACATCAGCAGAGTCCTTCTGGGTGGCTTTGCTGCAGTTGGTATGCTGCCCATAGTCAAGGCGACACTTTCGCAATGCAGCACGCCATCCGCGATTCAAGTTGAACTGCAAGCACATGAACAACTGTTTTAAAGGGCAACTTAAGTGGGACCACGATGGGAATGGACATTTTTCCTAATATCCAGTGCCTCAATACCCTTTTGTTCGCAAGAAATCTAAGTTGACTGGTGACATTCAATATTGTTTAAAACGAAATATATTGTTTCAAAAACGTTGAACATTTTACGTAAAATACCAACATTAATTTCACGGGTTGCACTTATTGCATGCAACAGACATGGGCAATTAAGGTACACACTGCCATCTGTAGCTATTGGTCATTGTCAATTAGGGAAATGTGATGCATCATTTAGAAGTTACAGTACTTCAATAACGTGCGGCACTAGCAGTGCCCTTTCCAGCTAGTCCATTGTATGTTTGTTCGGGGTTTTTTTACTCTTATGTGATACATGGAAACAAAAAAGGGAAAAATGTCCTTCAACACTAGCAACTGAAAATGTCCACTAATAGCGGGCAACCACATGTTAGATCGTGTTACTGTGCCTTGTGGAATGATCATGTAACTTGTGAAAAGGACGGAAATTATTTTGTGCGGCAATGTCCTAGGGAAGTCAACATTTTGTAAGAGATATTTTTCGCTTCCGCTCGTTAAAACGGTCGCCTGTATTTAATATGCTCATATTAGATGCATGTCCGATTGGTAAGGTCTTAATCCAGCAGTGGATACACAAATTGAGGCCGGCAACGTCTCTATCCGAAAACCCAGATTCGAAAGAGCGCAAAATACAGAGAATCAATCGGCGTTTAAATGTCATCTCTTACATCGGGGCCGAAATCCATCCCCATGGTGTGAACGATGTCCAGGACGCGACTACCAACACCAACCTCCTCCCTCCCGGTTAAAGACAATGTTTGCTACGGTGTCGATAAAGCACGACAAGGGTGAAGTTAAGACGCGGTGACCGGAGATCACGGGCAGCAATAATAATAACACAAAGCCAGGGGGGGTGCGGGATGGGGGGGTTCGGGATGGGGGGGGTGTGGGATGGGGGGGGGGGGGGATGGGGGGGGTGCGGGATGGGGGGGGGTGTGGGATGGGGGGGGTGCGGGATGGGGGGGGGGTGCGGGATGGGGGGGGGGGTGCGGGATGGGGCGCGGGATGGGGGGGGCGCGGGAGGGGGGGGAGTGTTGGATGGGGGGAGGTGTTGGATGGGGGGGGGGAGGTGTTGGATGGGGGGGGGTGCGGGATGGGGGGGGTGTTGGATGGGGGGGGGGGTGTGTGCGGGATGGAGGGGGGGGATGGGGGGGTTGTGCGGGATGGGGGGGGGAGACGATTCCCGAGCGGCGTGGTGATGAACTCCGGGGGGGGGGGGGGACGCCATAGCCGCCACATGCGCCGCGCACCGCAATGACAACCGCACTGTACCCGGCACTGTACCCAGCACGTGGCCGCAAGGACGCGGCCATGAGCACAAAGACGGGAAAGACCGCCCCCCCCCCACCACGTGTAGCTCACACCGGGCTGCTGGGGGGGCCCGAGGGGCCGTTCGCGAGCGAGCAGCGCCTGTTGGAAAGGCCGCGGCGTACGAAAGGTTGTGTGGGGTGGTACACGCGGCGAGCGCGCGCGCACGCACGGCCGCGATGTTTACCGCACGAACGCACTCATTTGAGGCCGAGTGGATCTAGGGGGAGGCCCAGGACCGCTTCAGATAATCGCCACCGGTGTCGGCCGCGAGCGCGCAGCGCAGCACGCGCGCGTTGAGACGCGGAGGGCGACGGAGCGAGAAGAGAGCGTAGAGACGACCTCAGAGCGAGGAGACGGGAGGGTTCGCGGAGAGTGGATATAGAGCGCAGGGAGCTTGTCAAGAGGAGAGCTACGGATCGAGAGAGAGAGAGAAAGACATTCACTCGCCATGCTTGGAGGCCTCCTCTTGCCCCTCTCCAGCTGCTGCTTGCTCCACGAGTCCCCTGATCGGCCCCAGGGTCACCAGCAGAGGGCACCAGGGTGCGAACATCCCCTGGCCGAGATTCACGGCACAGGAGTGGTGGTGGTGGTGCTGGTTCAGTTTAATTTATTTTGGTATAGCCCTGTGAGCCATTCGGCTCTTGAATCGGGTGCAACCGCAACAAACAAAAAAACACGAACAAGAAAAACATCTTAAAGTGACTATGTGACTGTGCAGACAGAAAATCCATGAAAAAAACAGCAAAAATATTCCTGAAATAGCACCGTACATCAACGCTGTGTGCAAAAAATCCCAGTGGGATGCAAGTCAAACAACAATAACCACAACAAGACAACTTAGATTAAGGCCATCAGTCTAACTCCGTACTACAACAAAACAAACATGTCCAAACCAAAAAACTTTTCGAAATCACCAAAAAATAAAGCCATAATTGCAACGTAACAGTGATCATAGGGACTGTGACCGAATTTTTTTACAATAACTACATAAATAACATGTAACACCAAATCCTAGAGCCATAGCTGGCTGCATGAGTTACTCCACAACAACAGAAGCATCAGTCGGAGTATCAAATTTTTCAATGCACCTTTAAGATCAGCACGCTAACTCAAAATACAGATAATACTTTGCAGCGTCATCCGGAGCGAAACATTTTATTTTATTTTACGCCAATGAATAGCAGTGGCAGCTACGGGTGTACAACTCCTCTAGAGCAGTTTTGAGAGAAGATCTCATTGGTAGCGATTCAAGTTGCAGTTTATTGGCAATAGCATTCCAGACCCTGGGGGCATCAATAGCAAAGGCCCTTCCTCCAGTTTTTTTTAATTGATGGTTGGTGGTGGTGGTGGTTGGTGGTGGTTGGTGATGGTGGTGGTTGGTGGTTGGTGGTGGTTGGTGGTGGCTGGTGGTTGGTGGCCCCGATGATAAGGGGGCTCACTTCACAAATCAAAAGTGATTCGCGTGATGACGAATTTCAAAATGTTCGCACGCCGCCACTCATTTTTGCCGAGCAAGTGTGTAGACTTATGCCATTATTTTAATTCAATCTAAAGTACTAGCTAAACTTGAGATATCTAATCTTGTACAATGCTGCAATAATGTTGTAACTCATTGTCAATCCATCTCCTACGCCGTGTGGGTCACGGGGTTTCACAAAGCTGGTTCAATATAACGTTGAAGTTGTTTTTGTATATTGCCTTTTGTAATCTGTTTAACCACCGCAACATAAAATAGATTTAACCCTCCAAGGCAAGTGCGGTGACGTGGGGTCCCCTCGCGTTCATCGTTGGAGGATGTTCATGATCCACTTGTTACGATGCATAACGACATTTATCAATGCAGGATACGTTGACGTTTATTATTCAACCGCCCCATTGAGAAATGTGATAACTCCACGCATACAAATACATATCATTGTGTTTCAAAGCCCATTGTCTATGCACGGCTAGATGAGGGCCTCCCATCAGTTGGATCATCGTGGAGTGCAATACCGTGCACACACTTCGACACTGCTGGACTAGTGGGATGTAAATCTAAAGGTGCAGCCCTGGAATGCCTCGCTCACGCCACTGCTGGTGGAAGGGCCTCCATATAGAGTGGAGCTCTCTTGGGCCTGTCTGGAGGATGTTTGGCCAACTCTTCCACGTACTTTTAGGAATATAACCACGTGTAAATTTGACATGTATGCATTGATCTTGAGTGGATTTTTTAAGGATGTATATCTCTCGTCTGTTTTGGTGTTACAATCACAAAACCAAGCTGTAATCCAGCAGCTGAATTTAACAGAATACGTAGGCTTTGTGAGACAGAGCTGTGGAAATTCGCCACAGTAATTACGGAGCGACGACTTGATTTGAGTTGTCGACCTCGTGCAAAAACAATTAATAGCTTAAACGATCTCGAAAGTGAGAAAAATTAAATGAACACCGATTAAAATTGACTGCATACCAAGTTTGCAATGTCAGAGTGCATCTGGAGCCAGTAGGAAATTAATAGTACGTGATATAGTTTAATACATTCATGGGTACATTTGATATTCGTAACATATTTACAGAGTAGGACTATCGAGACACTTTATTTCCCTCCACGGGTAGAGTCTAAAGGGGGCGATGGTGTTACGTGTCTTTACCCAATCAGTTTATTTGCGAGTAATTTTCAAAATAATCAAATGTGGACACACTCGGCCTAAATGCGTTCGGGGTATTGATTCAAATTTGAGGTCCACCAAAGAAAACCGCAGTGCCGTGTTTCACTTGAGATTGAATGTAGCCTTGGACTTCGCATGTGAAATTAGCAAACAGAATTCGTGCAGAAGACGTAAAAGTCTTAAGTTTCCCACATACATCTGTCCCAATTACTGTAATACACCAACTCATGTGTTGCCCCAATTACTTTAATATACCAACTCGTTATGTGTTGCTGTAGACAATTGAGTCAACATATACAAGCAGAACTATGTTGATTTGAAGCCTTCGTGACTGCAGGAATTCATACTCTTTGGTTCTTTCGGTAAAGTCACGTATTTATTTTTCTATCAACGTGACTTTACCGAAAGAACCAAAGAGTACAGAACTATGTTACATGTCTCTCAACATATAAACACAAATGTTTTAGTCCATAGACCTAATTAAGGGGTTTCCAGGCCAATACATGCTGCTGAATAACATTGCTCTGGAAGATCAATAGGCCTATGTACACATTTTTATTTATTTGGAAATAAACATTTTATTACAGCATTTTTGGAACGTTGGCAAAAAAATGTATAAAGTGAACTTTACCGTTGTTAATATAACCACAAGTGTGATAAAAATGCCCCCCCCCCCCCCATGACGTGTTTATTAAAATGGTTGTTGGTGTGTGGCGACTACTTGGGATGGCCTTAATTCAGCAGTAGATTGATCACGGCTACTACTGTTGATGATGTTGTTGATGGTGGTGTCTCCTTGGCTACTCGAACCACCGCTCGCGGAATTATGCGCCCGATATTGTGAGCAGCTGCGCGCTACAATTTCACCTGCGCCGAGTTCCAATGCAATTGGCAAAAATCATCCGACAATCCCACTTGGCCACGGGGGCGTGAACACGTTCTGGGAACCGGTTTCAGCCAATTTACCGGCGATCTACTTTTAACAATGAGATCTGAACCGTGCCGCTCTTTGTTGGTCCAACATGCGTCTCGGCGTTCTGCTCCGGATCGTGCTCTATGCGTGGCTGCTCTCGGAGTGCAGCGGCCTCTTCGGCTGGTTCAGGAGGAGAGACAAACCAGCAGTGGCACCGACACCCGAAGCTCAAACCAGCACCCAGGAGGACGGGCATGGGGCCGCCCAGGATGGGCCGCAAGGTGGGCCCGAGAGGCGGGGAGTCGGGGCAGCTCCTCCCTTCGAGCTCGTGTTCGCTGATGAGCGCTTCTTGGCCGAGGCGCGGCACCTGGAGCTGTCCCCGCTCGACACCTGCCACTACCAGGTGCGCCCACCTCTCGCATCACCACCACGACGAACATCACCACCACGACCACCACGACCATCACGAACATCACCACCATGACCATCATCGCCACTAAATACCACGATCATCACCACCACGAGGATCATCACCACCACGAGGATCATCACCACCACGAGGATCATCACCACCACGAGGATCATCACCACCACGAGGATCATCACCACCACGACGAATATGACCACCACGACGAACATCACGACCACCACGACCATGACCATCATCGCCACTAAATACCACGATCATCACCACCACGAGGATCATCACCACCACGAGGATCATCACCACCACGAGGATCATCACCACCACGACGAATATGACCACCACGACGAACATCACGACCACCGCGACCATGACCATCGCCACTAAATACCACGATCATCACCACTAAATACCACGATCACCACCACCACGAGGATCATCATCACCGAACAGCACCACTATCATCACCACGATGAACAAACATCACCATTAACCACCACGATCATCACCACCGTTACCTTCACTATCTATCGTCACCACCATACACGCCACCTTCGCCACCACCACGATCACCTAAGCACCACCGAACCTCTCAACCACCGGCCATCACCACCGTCAGTCGTTTACCACCTAACAACACACACCGCACCACGACCAGCCATCACCAATTGTCACCGACAGTCCCCCAAAACCACCATCATTTCCAAAGCCGAGAGCAGTTACAACCCGAGCACCCATCGGCGCAAATCCCTAAAACAATCCCGCTTGATCGGCTTCAAACATCAGCAACTTCCCTTCCCATCGCGGGCTGATGTAAACTAACTGCAATCACGACATCGCTTCATCCGCAAACAATCCGTCTCGACGCTGTTTTGAGGATGGTCCGTCTCGTCGAGTTTATTTTCACGTGGCAGGAAGCTGAAGCGTTCGAAGAAAGTCCGCATGCGAGAAGATTACGCACACGAAGATCTGCAAATTTAAACTATTTTTTTTTATTATTGAAGGCTTTTATTTAACTCTCACTGCCTGTTGTCGTATCCTCAAATTGTGTAACTCAATTTTAACCCAATTTCCAATGTGGTATCGACTGCAAACTTGGTATACGTATGTCATACTGATGACAATACTATATTCTATCATTAAAAATATATTTTTAAATATTAAATAAATATTATTTAAATTATTTTTATAGGTTAGATGCTTAGGCTTGGGTCTCATTGTCCACGGTCCCTTACGTTATTACCAACGCTTTTATTTTTAGTCGGTTACAACAACAATATAGTAAACATATATAATGCAAAGTACTTGAACAGAAATAAAATATTTGTAACTTTTTAGTACATTTCATAAAAGCGTGTTTTTAAAAAAAGTTTTCAAAAAATATATTATTATGGATCTTTTTGTGTAACTCTACCACCACCTAGCGGGCCACATTGTAACCTTCCGATTTTGGTGCTTCTCACATTGACCCTGTAACCTCTGCCGGATCCATCAACTCTGCATGCAAAGTAACCGCGCACACAACGCACTCGAGGTTATGAAAAAAAATAACGGTCCTAAGAGTT